TGTTCTGTAGTCAAGAAGAAACAAGAAAGCAATTTGTGATTACTGTGAATTGAGGTAGACTACGATTTTAAGGAATTGAAAACAGACTTGTACCAATAGAGTATGTTGCTCAGATAAATAGGTAAGGGTTGAATACTTTTATTTAATTGATATTTTGGAAAAGAAAATTTTCAGAGGTCTTGCAAAGAAATATAATTCATGTAATTGATGAGTTTTGCTATGGCTAATGTACTGTGCAAGCTGGAAGCACAGATGGCACTGTTGGCTGTCAACAATAGTCATTTGACTTTAACTTGTCACCATGAGTTGGAATCAACCTGACAGCAACTGCAACAACAACATAGGGTTTGTCCCCACCAATGATGGTTCTGTTTTCTTAGTACTTTTCTATGCTTAAGTGACTATGAAACTTTTGTTGCAGTAGCATGCCATCATTTCATTTGGCGGTGACTTGCCACCAACACTTATTTAAGTGTTAGATGCACCTCTGTTTTCATTGCCTAAGACCTTTAAAGCTGTGTACCTTTATAGCTTAAAGCTTGTCTTTTGTCACATGTTTTCATGATGTCAGAGTCTCAAATTTGTAAATAGTCTTAATAACTTAAAACATGTGTAAATTATCACAGCTAAACAGTTTTACTTTTTTAACCAACAAAATCAAAAGTACATTGGCAGATATCGGCCAATTCTGGGTGATTGTGGTCCTCTTACCATTAGAACTTGCCAGCTGGATAGCCTCGTTGCCATTGAGTTGATGCTAACGCACCCTACAGGACAAATTAAAGTGGCCCCTTGGGGTTTCCAAGACTGTAAATCTTTGCAAAAACATACTGCTCATCTTTCTCATACATCATAGCCAATGGCTGAAACTTCTGCACCACCAGGACTTTTTCTGGATAGCTAGACATCTTATTAAACCCCCTAAAATAGGTACTTTGCTTTTATTTTAGGTGCTATATGTAAAAAATAATCAAAAAAACAAATTATAGCACAAAATCTCAAGTCAGTACTTACTTGCCAAGTGGTCATAAAGATAATCCTAAATGTACTTGTCATTGTTTCTTTCTTGTTTGTTTGTTTCTTAGATTATTATCAAGTTTAAATTTTCTTGGGAAGAATGTAGAGAATCCCAAGAATATAGCTGAGGACTTTCAGATAAGAGGATCCCAGTTTGAGAAACCCTAATGTATTGGGGAAAGTCATAAGCCCTGAAGACTTGGGTACAAAATAAAGTCCTCCTATTGAGCTGTTGTGAGATGTAGGCAAGTCACTTGACCTCTCTGAGCGTCAAATGTGGGACTTAGGGCAGAATTCATGCTGGACTTCAGAGTCCAGGCTCTTCACGTCAGCTAAGAAAAGGCTCAGGCCTTGAAATTCATATTTTAATCATTAGTCCTGAAAAATACAGTCCTGACAAGAAAGTGTGTGATGGTTGATTCCTCACTGGGATCACATTATCATCTGAGATTATATGGATTATAAAGTTGTTGGGCTTTTGTTTTATTTCCATTATAGATTCTGATTCCCAGCACAGCCACGAAGTGATGCCTCTCCTCTATCCTCTCTTTGTCTACCTCCATCTCAGCCTGGTCCAGAACAGTCCGAAGAGCACAGTGGAAAGTTTTTACAGCCGCTTCCATGGAATGTTTTTACAGAACGCTAGCCAGAAGGATGTCATTGAGCAGCTACAGACCACTCAGACCATCCAGGACATCCTGTCTAACTTCACGCTGCGAGCATTTCTAGATAACAAGTATGTAGTCCGTCTCCCAGAAGACAGCTACAATTACCTTATCCGCTACCTCCAAAGTGACAACAATACTGCCCTGTGCAAAGTCCTCTCCTTACATATTCATCTGGATGTGCAGCCTACCAAGAGAACAGACTACCAGCTCTATGCCAGTGGCAGCTCCTCACGTAGCGAGAGCAGTGGCTTAGAGCCCACCGACATGCCCACCCCTATTCTGCAAAATGAAGCTGCCTTGGAGGTCTTGCAAGAGAGCATTAAGCGAGTCAAGGATGGGCCTCCTTCACTCACCACCATCTGTTTCTATGCCTTCTATAACACAGAGCAGCTACTGAACACTGCAGAAATTTCCCCAGAGAGTAAGCTGCTTGCTGCTGGGTTTGACAACTCCTGTATAAAACTTTGGAGTTTACGGTCCAAGAAGTTAAAGTCTGAACCCCACCAAGTGGATGTGTCTCGTATCCACTTGGCTTGTGATATTCTTGAAGAAGAGGTATGACTATCATTTTTTTCCTTCTCTTTACCTACCTTACTGCATTCCTTAGAACATCCCTACTAAACATGATTGGCCTTACAGAGAATGGGCTTCATTATTTCCCCTCATTTTATAACTAAAACCCACTAGTGCCACGTAACCCATAGTCATTGAGTTTCTGCTAAATGCCTGTGAAAGAGATAAAAACATTCCCTTGATACTGTGAATGATTGGTTAGTGTCTATTAGTAACTAAAGTGTAGATAACATCACTAAGGCTAAATAAAGAACTTTAGTTAATAAGTGAGATTTGCAGTAACTATCCTTGTCTACTTATATTGGCACATTTCTGCAAGTATAGAAATAACTATAGCAAGAGAAATGAAAATATTCCACCCAAAAGTTGTATATAAATGTTCGTAACCCATTATTCATAGAGCTCAGTTGTGGAAACAGCTCAAATGTCTACCATATGATGAATGTATAGATAAAATGTGATATCTGTATATTACTAGGGGGATTTAAGATCTTAGCATGGTTGCTACAAAAACGTGGTTGTTGTTTTTTTTAAGCCCCCTATATTAAAGGAATGAACTAAATGGTATAACCTGGATGAACTTTGAAAACACATTAAGTGAAAAAAAATAGACCCCATATTATATGATTCAGTTTATATGAAGGGATCCAAAAAAGCTATCGGTTTTTTGTGACAAAGTTTTTTGAGACAAAGTGGTTGCCTGGGGTAGGACTGCTGATGGGGATAGGGTTTCTTTTTGAGGTAATACAGATGTTCTGAGATTGGACAGGTAATAGTTACACAACTCAATGAATATGCTACAAGCCATTGAGCGATATTCTTTAAAAGACTGAATTTGTGGTGTTTATTAGATCTCAATTTTTTTTTCATGTAACAAGAAGATAGTACAGCCTAAAATATTTTCTGTAAATTATTGCCAAACAAAACTTGATTTGTAGAACTACCTTGTATGACCTTCTGTTAACCTCATCAAACAGTAGTACTTGAAGATAAACTTAACCATTGGAACTTTCTTAAATTGGCACAGTGGTCCGTTCTTCTCATCCTTGGTACTAGTTGGTATCAAGCTGTAGCCCCATCTATTTGTTCCATATTGAAATGGGAATTAAAATAAGATCACATTTTCCCCTTATTAATGACTCATTTTTAATATTTTAGCAGCATGACAAACTGTAGGTACCAATCAAGGATTTATTTTTCTATTCAGTTAACATGTACACTACCACCATTGTCATAGCCACCCACCCATCTCCTAAGCCTAACGTGCTCCTAAGGGGTCACCTCTAACTTGAAGTCTCCATGTGTCACAGTAAAAATATGCTCCAGAGTGCTTCCAGTGGTTTTTCAGAAGTAGATCACCAACCCTTCCTAACAATATGCCACAAAGTAGACTTGAACCTCCAACCTTTCTCTCAGTAGCAGAGCATGGTAAATGTTTATACCACCCAGGGACTTTAAATCATGAAGATCACATGTACCAGTTTATTTACTATCTACTGAATTTCCTTCCAAAATCTGGTAATCTTTCCATTGGAAAAGTAATCCAGAAAGTGTATGTGGTCATTTCAACATTCAAGAATATTTTTAAATTGTTAATGAAATCTGTTACATGCTTGGGTAAGGAACCTAATAATAACATAAGTGTTTATGATCAGCTGCTTAACCCAAAAGTTGACAGTTCAAACCTATGCAGTGGCACTGCAGAAGCTAGGCCTGGCAATCTGCTTCCATAATGATTACAGCAAAGAACTTCCTCTGGAGCAGTTTGTGTAACACATGGGTCACCAGGAGTCAGAGACCAGCTCAAAGGCCGCTAACAAGAGGTCTTGTGTAGAGTTCATACTTTCAGCACATAAGCAGTTTGCACTTACTGATGACCGACCACCTTCTTTACTGACACTATTCTAGTTCAGGCTGCTGTCATCTCCCATATAAATAACAGTGACTCACTTTTTTCCACACCTTAAGTCACATCCACATTTAATTTCCAACCACATTTAATTTCTTTCATTTTCTACTCCACAGCTAATTAAGAGAATGCCCCGAGGCTAAGTTTCAAATTCCCAAAAAATATCTCTGATCTCAAAAAGACTGGAAGATGAGATGAGATATTTGAAATATTCTAGTCTAGAAGCAAATATCTTTTATAGCTTATCTCAGATATTTAGGGTCCCCATGGTCTAGAGCAGGGTTCAGCAATCTACAATCTGATGGTCAAAGCCAGGGTTGTATAAGATAATATTTAATGATCTAGTAGAATATCTATTTTTATTCTTTAAAATTTTCTGTTTTTATATGCATTTTAGTTACATAACACATAACATGTAGTTTATTATTAGTGTATATACCTAGTTCTCTAGTAGCTACATTAAAAAGAAAAAAAAGAACAGGCAAAATAAATTTTAGTAATGTAGTTTATTCAACCCAATATTCAATCCAAATTCTTCCATGGGATGCCTGCTCATTTACTGTGAGATGTCCACTGGAAAATGCAGGAAGGTCTGCAATGTTATATACTATTACACTAAGAGCAGGAAGAATATCTGTGTGAATTGGCATGTATGAAGAAGCTATTCTTTCTTGGTGTCTAGTTCTACAGCACTGAGCCCTTGTAGGATCCAACTAAGAAACCCATGGAAACACAGCTAGGTCATTTTAAGTTGTGATCCTGGCAAAAAGTTGGAAAAAGCCAGAAGGAAGTTCTGGTTTCTCCATTTTTTAGTCTGCAGGGTCAACCAGGCACTTTCCTAAGGATTAGGACAATTGTGCATATCCCTGAGAGACCCACCTGAACGCTGAGTGCATCCTCTTCTATCCAACCCAGTGCAGTATCGCTGAGCACCAAACTTTAGGTCCTACTTTCTAACTCCACAATTTCCTATTCTAAATGAAGAACATTTGCACTTCAAAGATAATAAAGTGATCTTTAATTTACAGTTAGTTTTTCCAACGATTTTTGTGGCTAATTAATTCTGGAGTATTTAATGGAGTCTTTGTGGCATCCTAAGTTATGTGGTGGACTGCTAACCGTAAGGTCAGCAGTTCAAACTCGCCAACCACTCTGCAGGAGAAAGATGAAACCATCTGCTCCTGTATACATTCAGAGCCTAGAAACCCCATTTTATTTTGTCCTATAGGGTTGCTATGAGTTGGAATTAGCTCAATGACAATGGGTTTGGGGTTTATAGTTCTTATATACTATCTGTTGTAGACTAATATACCGTATATACTCATGTATAAGTTGAGTTTTTCAGCACATTTTTTAAATGCAGTTTTTGTGGTAAAATAGGTGCCTCGGCTGATATATGGGTCGACTTTTACTTGAGTACATACGATATTATTCTTGAAATTATACGTTAGCCTCTTTGGAAAGGAAAGTAACCAGTACTATTGTTAGCACTCAGTAGAACCTAAAGTTCTAACATGCCCAAGGATGATAACCCCACTTGCAGGGAACAAACATCAGAATTTTAGGTGAATGGATTCATTGGATAGTGAAAATTATGGCAAAAATAATAATGAGAAAAATGTTTAAGTGCTTATGGATGCTTAATGTTGAATATATGAGGTAATCATCTGGAAGACTATTGGGTATTTTCTCTTAACTTTTTCTCAAATATTTACATGTTAAGGCATCCATTTAATGTTTAATGTAGTAGTTTTTGGATAGAAGTTAAAACGATGGCCTCTTGCTGTATAAGAACCCATGTAAGAACCGGATTTCTAAGCCAGCTAGTTCAGGAATCTTCATCATCTGTTTCTTTTAGTATTTAATCAAGCCATTCACTGATGAATTCCAGTATAAAGACCGCTCACAGGAGCTTGTCTGTGAGGGAATAAGCGGAAGCAGTTTGAAAGAGTGTGGTTGACGAGAAAGAAGAGAGAAAAAGGTCTGTCTCTTGTAGCTCCATTAGTTCCTCTCCTCTTGCTCTGCCCCCCACGGAGGATTTCCAGTAATCACAAGTTACTTGATTTGCTGAAAGCAATTCTCAATCCATGTTTTGTTTGGTTACTTTGGACATGTTTGAGACCCTCCAAAGAGTCACTGTCTCAAGCTTTCAACTTTATTTATTTGTTTTGGACTGCAGCAATATATGACTGGTAACATGGGGTATGTGCTTAATGTATTGAAATCTGTACCATTGTAGCTTACTATTCATTCTAATGTTGCCCAAGTTAGGTGTTGGTTGGATTTATATAACAGCTCTGTATTAATCTTTAAACAACATTACTTCTGCCTTTATATATTGCATAATATATGTTAACCCCAGTGATAGGTGATAAACCTGTCAGAATTATCTTAAGTGCATTGAAAACAAGAGCCCTATGGCAAAAAGCAAAAAGCTTCAAATGAAGACATAGAATAAAGGAATCGAAGAAGGTGTAACCTCTTTTCAAAGTAGCATGTATTAGAGCTAACAAAGAAAGTTACCAGAGGGTACGTTTTAACCAGCTTTTAAAATATACATTATCCTCAACCTTAAAAGAACAGTCATTACAATAACAATTTTATATCCCTATGTCATTTGATCTGATAAAGCATTAGCTATGAGGGGGTACCTCCAAAAAAACAGGCCCCCCCCCCCAAAAGCTATGTATTTAAATATTTTTACAAACCATCCTATCACCTTCAAAGTATTCTCCATTATACTTAATACATTTGTCAAATCTGCAATTCCATTTTTGGGAACATTTCTCAAACTCATCTGTTTGGATGGCTGACAGAACCTTCCTTGTTTTTTTTTCTTCACCTTGTCTCCTTCATCAAATTGCTGTCCTTTCATGTCCCTCTTCATTTGAAAATAAAAAGAAGTCACAAGGAGTGAGGTCAGATGAGTAGGGTGTGTGGGGCAAGAAAGGCATGCTGTTTTTTGCCAAAAACTGGTACCCTGAGATGGCTGCCTAAGCAGGTGCATTGTTATGGGGCAAAACCAGTCCCCTGTCTGCCACAAATCAGGCCTTACTTGTTGCATGCTGTTATGCTATCTTTTCCGAACCTCTAAATAGAAAGCTTGATTAACAGTCTGACCTGGTGGAACAAACTGCAAATGCGCTATCCCCCTCACATCAAAAAACAAATGAATATTGTCTTGATCTTTGATTGCACTTGTGACGAGCTTTTTTGGGGTGAGGTGATGATGGCATCTTCCACTGGCTTGATTGATGTTTGCTTTGGGGATTGTAAGAATAGTACCATGTCTCATCACCAGTAATGACCTTGGGAAAAAAGTCAGCATCGCTTCAGAGCTGCTCTTCAAATCATGGCATGTTTCCACTCGAAGTTCTTTTTCCTGGTCATTCAGAACCGTAGGCACAAGTTTCAAAGCAACACCTCTCATTCCTGAATCTTCCATTAAAATTTGCTGAACCGAGCTCCAAGATAGTCCAGATAACTTCCCCATCTCTCCATTGGTCCATCATAGGTCTTCAAGCACAAGTAGACGAATTTTGTCAACATTTTCATTCATTGGGGATGTTGATGGACATCCAGATCAAGTTCTGTCATCAATTCACATTTCACCTTTTTTGAAAGAAAATAAGAAAGCCACTTGTACCCTTGAGTTTCTCCCATAGCACTGTCTTTGTAAGCCTGTGGTTTTCAACCTTCCTAATGCCACAACCCTTTAATACAGGTCCTCGTGTTGTGGTGACCCCCCCAACCATAAAATTATCTTCATTGCTACTTCATAATTGTAATTTTGCTACTGTTATGAATCGGGCAACCCCTGTGAAAGGGTCATTCAACCCCCAAAGGGGTCGCAACCCACAGGTTGAGAACCACTGTTAAGCTGTGTTCAACATCACAACAGTTTATACAGCATTTTTCCCAAGCAGGAAACAGAATTTCACAGCTGCATACTGTTAAATCAGCCATCACCAAAAAATGAGGTTTGAGTGAAACTACTTTTATGAAAAATTTCACTGTGACCAGAGAGAAGCTTCCCAAGCGACGTCACTGGGTGCACTAACTATAGCGAGTTGTTCAATGCTCGCCTGGCAGGGAAAATGCTTACTGTTTTTCCAGGGTATTTCGGGGGTCCTCCCCTCATACGAGATAACTTTAAAGAAAGCAATTTGTAAGTCCCAAAAAACTGCATTCTTTTCAACTACCATTTTTTTCTGGGCAAGGTTACTGTTATTTACCAGGTAGATACTGGCTTTCCCTTCTCCCCTGTTGCCCTCTTTTTCCTTGTCAGACCACTAAACCTTTTTTTCCCTTTATATTTCCTCTTCCACCCTTACCCTGGTTTCATAGGATGATGAGGATGATAGCGCAGGCACAGAAATGAAGATACTCCGAGGACATTGTGGGCCTGTGTACAGAACAAGGTTCCTATCGGACAGCTCAGGGTTGCTCTCTTGTTCTGAAGACATGTCCATTCGATATTGGGACCTTGGAAATTTCACCAACACTGTGTTGTACCAAGGACACGCGTACCCTGTGTGGGACCTGGACATTAGCCCCTATGGTCTGTACTTCGCCAGTGGTTCACATGACCGTACCGCAAGACTGTGGTCATTTGACCGGACTTACCCACTGAGAATATATGCAGGGCACCTGGCAGATGTAGACTGTGTCAGATTCCACCCCAATTCTAACTACTTAGCCACTGGCTCAACTGATAAGACGGTCCGGCTGTGGAGTACTCAGCAGGGGAATTCTGTGAGGCTCTTCACAGGCCACCGAGGGCCTGTGCTTTCTCTTGCATTTTCTCCTAATGGTAAGTACTTGGCATCGGCTGGTGAGGACCAGAGGTTGAAGCTGTGGGACTTGGCTTCCGGAACTCTTTATAAAGAGTTGAGAGGCCACACAGACAACATCACTAGCCTTACATTTAGCCCAGACAGCAGCCTGATTGCCTCTGCCTCCATGGACAACTCCGTTCGTGTTTGGGACATCAGGAACACTTACTGCAGTACTTCTGCTGATGGCTCCTCCAGTGAACTTGTGGGCGTGTACACCGGGCAGATGAGTAATGTGCTGAGTGTACAGTTTATGGCCTGTAACCTTCTTTTAGTGACGGGGATTACACAAGAAAATCAGGAACATTAATTTTTTATTTTTGTGTTAATGGATTGGGGCAGTGGTGGAAGGCCTCAGGATTGCAAATCTTACTAGAAACTGAGATTAAATCACTGACTGACTGTGAAAAACACTTCCTTACTCTCTTCCTTTTCCTCTGCTGGCTGACATCCTTAGTATCCCACACCTTCATTTGGTCCCACCAAGTGTTGAAGGACTGAGGTGGGGGAACAAAGGCGATAGATAAGTGCACACGAGAATAAGAATTAAGATGCTTCAGAGGGCAGATGGCACATTCTTAACGAAGATCCCACTGTGACCTTGTGCACTGTCTCTGTCTCATTTTTCCTGTCTGCAAGACTGAGATCATACTTACCTCACCGGGGTGCTGGATTTGATTAGAGGATGATTGTAAAGCACTTTCGAGATAAGCAGTGCTATAAATGTTAAGTATTATCAGTCACTTTGGTCGAAGAGAAACCCTTATTGGTTTTAGGGAGGGAAGGAGGAATGGGGAGGGGGATAGTCCTAGCAAAAAGTTTTCCTTCTCCATAATTAGAAGAAACGGGGTTTTTAATTATTTCTATTATAGTTATAATAATTATTATTATTGAGAAGAGGTTATCTAGCACTGGCAGAGGGTACTTTCTCTGCTTTTACCTTTCAGGTCTGACTCCTGGCACTGGCTACGATACTTGGAATTTTGAGTTTCAGGGAAGTTAGAGAATTTGGTAGCACAGTGGAATGGGGGGAAGGGGAAATGTCTGCGTGACAGATTGACCACTCTGGCTCGGTTCTAGAAGTGGATGAGGGATCTGATGGAGAAACTTTGAGGATCTGGCAGTGATAATGGGAAGGAAAGATTCTTTGCTTGACTGCACTTCTATTTGTAATTATCTCCCTTGAAAAGAAGGATGGCAGTAAATAAATGGAAATCAGTTTAAATGATGTCATGAGAAAAAATTAGAAAATAGCAAATTTCTGAATGACTCTTTATTCAAAGGTGTCAGTTTTCACACTTTTTTCCCTACTCCCACCTCCTACACTGCAGTACCAGTAATGACACTTCATGAAGCAAATTGTAAGTACACATGCACCCATATGAAACTGCTCTGAGGATAGAGTTAGCTCTTAGTTTGGGGAAAATGGATTAAATATTTCTGTTTTCTGAAAAGAGTTATTTTTTATTTTGTTTTCTATTAAAATGTATTTAGTTTCAAAAAACAATGTTGGTATCTTTTGTAAACTCTGAGAAAAGAGGGTATTTGGTTTGTCCTGGAATAACATGCATCTCATCTATAGAAGAACAACCATTTGTGTAAGTTAAACAGGCATAAGCAAAGGTATATTTTTTTATCTCCTTTTATATTCTGTTCAGCTAACTTTGAGTTTTGATTCCCCTTGGCATTCACTTAGATTTTATTTTAAAACAGCTAATCCTATTTTTACATCTATGATTGTTCATTGATGAACTAAAACGGTATATATTTTACTACTTAGAGTTGTTTGATAAGCTTCTATTTCCACCTGCCTTTACAGATCTATTACAAAATCTCTATGGGTTATAAGAGCTAAAGCTATTTACCGAAAATTTCAGGATAAAAAACTTGTTCAAAGATTAAATTATAACAAACTTTTAAAATATTGACTTTAATCTGTTATGGTTAGATGAAAAGTTAGAGCTAGAGGTCACATTTACTAGAATTAAAGTAGCATTCAAAGTAATAGGCTTTTGGTAGAAAAATAATAGGCACAATGTTTTCCTCTTCCATGTAATGTGATTTTGATATTTAAGTCCTAACATGCTTTAAAAAAAAAAGTACCAAGTAAGTAAAACTGGAAGATTTAATTTTTTACTCAACTTTTTTTCTTTATGAAAAGTTTATTTTCTCATTCAGACTTTTTCCGTTTAGTTTTACAAAATCGGGGACAAATTTGATTCTTTATATTGTTACAGAATATGTCATACATATCGAAATATATATATATCACAAGTTATAAACACAGCACATTCAACATCACATTAACAGCCACCGTTAATTTTTGACATAGGATTTCCTCAGGAGATAAACTTTGGGGGTTTTTAAAATCATTTTATTGGGCTCATGCAGCTTTTATCACAATCCATACATCCATCCATTGTGTCAAGCACGTTTGTACATGTTGTCATCATTTTCAAAACACGTTAAGGCTACTTGAGCCCTTGGTTTCAGCTCATTTCGCCCCTCCCCTCGCTCCCTCCCTCATGAACCCTGGATAATTTGTAAATTTTTTTTCCCGTGTCATACGCTGACCAAGGTCTGCCTTCATCCACCTCTCTGTTTGTCCCCCTGGGAGATGGTTATATGTAGATTATTGTGCTCTGCTCCTCCTCTCTCCTCCCACCTTCCCTCTACCCTCCTGCTATTGGTCCTGAGGGGAAGATAAACGGTTTTGATCTTTAATATGCAAATAAGGCTTCCATGCTTTATGTCAACCAGTATTTTACAAAGGCTAGTCGGAAAACTATGACCACTCCAAAAGTGATAAACTTTAAGGATAGCCACGCTTAAGACTTAAAATTAGGGAAAGCCAGACAGAACTTAAGAGCAGGGCAGGAGGTGGAGCTCTACCAAATTGTGAGTTTCAGATGTAAGCTTTGGGACCCTTTTCACGAAGATGGCGCCGAAGGCTAAGAAGGAAGCTCCTGCCCCTCCCAAAACGGAAGCCAAAGCAAAGGCTTTAAAAGCCAAGAAGGCCGTGCTGAAAGGAGTCCACAGCCACACAAAAAAGAAGATCCGCACGTCACCCACCTTCCAGCGGCCTAAGACCCTGAGACTGAGAAGGCAGCCCAAATACCCCCGGAAGAGCGCCCCCAGGAGAAACAAGCTGGACCATTATGCCATCATCAAGTTCCCCTTGACCACAGTCTGCCATGAAGAAGATCGAAGATAACAACACACTTGTGTTCATTGTGGATGTCAAAGCCAACAAACACCAGATCAAGCAGGCTGTGAAAAAGCTCTATGACATTGACGTAGCCAAAGTCAACACCTTGATCAGGCTTAACGGTGAGAAGAAGGCATATATGTTCGACTGGCTCCTGACTACCGACGCTTTAGATGTTGCCAACAAAATTGGAATCATCTAAAGTGAGCCCAGCTGGCTAATGCTAAATATAAACTTTTTCAAGATAAAAAAAAAAAAAAAAAGATGTAAGCTTTGGAAATTCAAATGACATACACTTGTGAATCCAGCCATTTCTTAATCCATGTGAGAAGCAGATTCACTAATCTAACTGTGATAGAGAGAAGTTGCAGAGGGACCGTCTCATCTCTGCTGTCTTCGTTCAGTTTCTTGGCTGCGTGTGTTGAGAGCTTAAACTGCAAGTCTAGTCTCTGCAGGAAATCCCAGGCTGGCACTTCCTTGGGCTGCACGGGCTGCGCGTCCCTTCCTGCCCACTGGGAGGGGCCAGTTGGGCCCCAGGCACCTGCGGCTTCTCTCCGGGAGAATGACTGCTATTAGTTTCCTTTGCTGGAGATCCGTTAAGTCCATTAAACAACAAAGGCTTCTCTAATATAACTGGGATGCTCAGTTTTCTTCAGAAATATACAATCATTGGGAAATAGTTTGTTTGCTCTTTTTATCGGCACCACTGTGACTCCGTACTTGAGCGCGATGCCCTGCAGCGTTTCGCCCGAGCAGACCCGGTGCCCCAGGGGCGCTCGGGGGACGCCCGCCCAGCGGCGCCCACACGCTGTCACACTGCTGTGCAAGTGGGCCATGGTGCCGGCCAGGCTCGGCGACAACCGGGCCTCTTCCGACTCGAGCCGGAGCGTGAGCATGGCGGTGGCGACAGAGCCCCGGGCCGCAGTGTGCGGGTGCCACGCCTGTGCGCCGGCGACGAATCCACCATGGGTCCTTTTTTAATCCACTATCAAACATAATTTTCTGGTAAGAATATCAGGAAATTAAGTAGGAAGACAAGAATTCTAATTTTCTTTTTTACTTGAGCCTAAGGTGCTAATTTATTAGAACTGTCTAGTATTTATAAAAACACAGATATTTGAGATTGTAAGAAAAATCTATTGGTCAGTTAGCATCACTTTCCATATAATATGGAAGTAAAGGTAAAGCCAAGGCTTTTAATGTATTCTTATCTGTCACCATTGAACTCTTAAGTTAAATTTTATTGTATATTACTAGAAACATGAGACTCCTAAACTTGGCTGAATCATTGTGAGAAGTGAAAGTATCACTGGCTGAAATTGACTCAGAAGTAAAGCATTACTGATTGAAAAGGTTTTTATTTCCACTTTGTTTTTCAATTCAGAATTTTCTTGATTAAACACAAACAGGATTTAGATTTATCAATCTTCACATTTCCAATCATACTTTGTTAGTGCATGCACTTAACAGCGCATATTTGGCCTTTCGTCTTTGCGAACTAAGCTTAATGTGTCATAATTTAACTATATATTCGATGTCCCTCATAACTTCCTTGGTTTGTGTGTTGATGTACACATGGAGCATCAGAACACAGTTATACTCTTCTGAGGCTCTCTGACACGGATGCTCTATTTCCCTCGGAGCAATCCTGGGAGGTGAGCAGGACTTTTGATACTAATCATTTTAGAGATGAAAAGCCAGAAAGTTATTTATTCACACCCAACTTGAACTATTCCTTTGTCTTGAATTAATTAGCTAGATTCTGTATCCTCAAGTTCTAGCTGGAAGGTATAGTACTAACGGTAGAACCATATTTTTTTTAATCCTCCACAAAGGAACTGAATTATTGTGTTTAGCAAGTATGCTTTAATGCTTAACATGTGCCAGGAACTGCTCCAAGGGCCGGGTGAAAATTAACATGTTAAAGATGAGAGCATTAAGGTACTAATGGATAAGTCGTGTTCCAAAGCTCAGACAATTTAAACACCAGCCATCAGGCTCCTGCATCCATACTCTTAACCATACTATGATGAACCATGGATCTCTTCAGCATCAGATAAGAATGAACTGGATTTGGTAGTAACTATATGTTCCAAGCAATAGTTACAGGACTCATGCATCCCTTTCCAGGTAAGTCAGCAGCAACAGGCAGGATTAGCACCTGGCATGACATCAAACCTAAACAAAATATGACAAAGAAACACCAGAGTATTCAATAATTTTAGACCACAGTGATGATAAATCCTAGTATTAGTCTACCAGCACAAATAGCCATTAAATGAGTTGTTAAAAAGTGGAGACGTTGAAAAGACTAGCTGGCATGTCTTAGATTGGCAGGCTTGAAAATTCTAATTTTAATTTATTACCAGACTGGCCTTGAGTTTTCAAATCCAGGATCCTATTTGTAAAGATAGCATGGTTATGAAATTTTCATTTTCATATATTAAAAATGTTTTAAATTGTATTTTTAAAAGTCTATTGACTATATAGGTTTCTCATTTTTACTATTGCCCAGGTGGTCATTTTAAGTATATGGAGTAAAAGATTAGTCTATATTTCAGTTGTCACTCTGTTGCAAGTTTTAGAAAAGTGTTCATCATAGCTATGCCTGTACCATAATTCATGTTGCTGACACCTACACAGCAGCCACATGCCACCCAACTGCCCTGTAAACAGAAATCCCATTATAAAATCTCAGTAATACAAACGTCCCTTGCTAGTCTAACTCATTGAAGAAAAATTTAGTTACCTTTGATTAACTGAAATCCTTAAAAGAAATACGGTATGTGTTATTAAATAGTGTGAGCTGAGGTTATGTTAGTTAATGGAAATGCAATGATAAGCAAAACGGAAATAGTCCCTCTCAAGTTTATAGCCTAGAGAGAAAAACAGGTTAATCAAATAATACCATAAATAGAGTTATGTGCTATGATGAGGCTCTTGGATAAGCATTGGCTGGCCTGCTTACTACAAAGTGGTTAATTCAAACCCACCAGCTGCTGTTCAGGAGAAAAACAAAGGTTGTGTGCTCCCCCGTAAGGATGTACAGATTTGGAAACCCTAGAGAGGGTCACAAGGAGTTGGAATGGGCTCAATGGCAGTGGCTTTGGTTTGGGTTTTGTGGAAGAACAGACACACTGTGGGAATCTACCTTAGATTAAGCGACCTCTGAGAAGGTAACAACAATGAAGATGCAAATTGGATTACTACATTCCCTATTCTAAACCCTCCACTGGCTCCCTCTCCACTTAGAATAAAACCACATCCTGGCAGTGCTGAAGTGCTGCCTACTGTCCAAC